ACTTAACCTTAAAGGTGCTTCAGAGCGGTTGAACCAAGCCCCCAGGAAGTGCTCCAGACTCTGAGGAAAATATTCCTAGTGTCCAAACGGCGGTACTACAATGTCCGTATCAGTCCGTGACGTCACCCGGCCCAGAAACACTTTCCCCCATTGACTAACATTGGGAAAGAGACGTCTGTAAATCAGCGGATCATTTTTTATAACTAAATAAACTACCCAGTATGAACTATTTTATAGCCCTTATTAAAATCATTCGGTCCTTAAAGTTGTAAAATGCACTAAAAGCTGAATCCAGATTTATTTTCTCTCTCCATTCATTCTACTGAGCCGAAAGCAGGAGATTGGGGGCGGGGCGTAATGACAGGAGGCGGAGCTTAAGGGGAAACTCAACTCTGCTCTATGAGCTACATATGGGTACTTCTGTTCTGACAGCAATTTTGTGACGTTTTGCTCTCGAAAATCTCACGCCATTTTGTCCTCATGAGCCAATGAGAAGCTCTCATAGGAAAGAACGAGACCCTCCCTCCAACACTGTATCCAGTTCTTATTATACATCCATGAACACACTTAACCTTAAGGAAACATTTAAAATACTTTCCTTTAAAGCGACACTAACATTCAAAATGAAGCCTTGTATATTAATCATTTGGGTGTAATTGTGTGTGCGTGTGTGCAGGTGGAGTTTCTGGGTGAGGAGGGGACGGGTCTGGGTCCCACTCTGGAGTTTTACGCTCTGGTGGCCGCAGAGTTTCAGAGAACCTCTCTGGGGATGTGGCTCTGTGACGACGACTTCCCCGACGACGAGTCCCGACAGGTGGGTCACGTGTTCCTCTGTCAGGGGCTAGCATTTTATATCTTTGTGTATCGTTTTGGTTTTCTCTTGATGCACTTCGTCTGGCGTTTTCTGTATGAAAAGTGCTATAGAAATAAAGTTTGATTCATAAAAGTAGGTGAATGTAATGAGGTAGCAGCCAGTAATAAGCGAAGTAACATTAAGACCGTCCTTTTTAATAAAGCCTATGTTTGTCCTCCGTGTTTATTCTTTTTATTATTTGTATTTTACACTCTTATCTTTTCATTATCTTCCTGTCATTTGATTAACCTTTTAGTTTGTTAATCTGTGAAGAACACCGAGACAAACGTGTTTTGTGATATTGGGCTATATAAATAAACATTGAATAGTATATATTGCACATAAGAGGTGTTGTAGCACATGAACTGATCCTCTGTCTGTGTCTCAGGTGGATCTGGGCGGCGGTCTGAAGCCCCCCGGTTACTACGTGCAGCGATCCTGCGGTCTGTTCGCGGCGCCCTTCCCTCAGGACAGTGAGGAACTGGAGCGAATCACAAAGCTCTTCCACTTCCTGGGCGTGTTCCTGGCCAAGTGCATCCAGGACAACCGTCTGGTGGACCTTCCCGTCTCTCAGCCCTTCTTCAAGCTGCTCTGCATGGGGGACATCAAGTCCAACATGAGTAAGCTGCTGTATCAGAGCAGGGGCCACGACCCTAACGGACCCCCCCACACGCATCCCTTCCTGCTGCTGTCTGAGATGCAGTCAGAGGCTTCAACCGAGGAGAGCCAGGAGACGTACTCTGTGGGGAGCTTTGATGAAGACTCCAAGTCCGAGTTCATCATGGACCCCCCCAAACCCAAACCCCCCGCCTGGTACCACGGCATCCTCACCTGGGACGACTTCCAGCTGGTCAACCCGCACAGGTGAGAACGGTTTGATTTATTTATTCAGTTTTCTTAGATTTATGGATTTTTTTTTTAAAGAGCCATGGAGGTGTATCTGCTCTCTAACTCTACAGGATGTCACTCTAATGGCGCTTTTCCAGTGCAGGGCCTCGCACGGCTTAGTACGGTATAGCTAGGCCTCGTTAGGTCAGGCTCACTTTATGCTGCGTTTCCATTTCAGTTTAGTAGCTGGGGCAGTAACTATAGTAACGCAGTGCAGTGTTTCCCCTAGGATGGAGTCATAGCAGCGGTGCTAAGGCACGCGGGCCCAGCAAAATGTGAGCGCGGCGCGCGTGGACATTTTAAGT